TAATATCTGATAAATATGTTTTAATATTCTTTCTTGATTAAAGGTAGTATAGCTATGCATCTGTATAATTGGTTAACTTGTTTGTTGTTTGTTTCTTTCTTCCCATTTCATGTAATGTCTTCTAGATTAAAGTGACATCTAGATTTATCTTGAATTGGTGCATAATTTTTTTATTATAGCATTGAAGAAAGGCTTCTTATAATTGTACACACAAGAAATTTCTCAGTGTTTTGTACGTCAAGCTATTCATGTAGCCTTGTCTGCACTTCAATTTGCATCCGTATTGCTTCGCTAATATGTAAGCTTCTAAATAAAAGGTTTAATAATTAGCGTATCAGTTCAAGTATTTTTTAGAAAATAAAGAAATGGATAAAGGAGCAGAAAGAACATGAAATGGGTTTTGAGATCTTACTTATTTGTTTTGGGTTTCAATGCTTGAATTACTCATGAGTTCCATTTGCCTCAGACATCCTTTCTCTTGCCACTACAACCATTCCTAAATTCTGTAAGCTATTCCATTGCCAGTAGTTGGTGTAGCTCAAAATAATTTATACTCCATAATTGTTGAACTTCTTACCAATTTTTTTTGTTCCAATATTAGAGTGCCCATGGAGATTCTTACTGAGCTTGTATTTATGCCAAACCAAAATTGGAGGAGTTATTCTTAATCTGTGTGCTTATATACAAGTATATGAATATGAAAATCCCCTAAAAATAAAAATAAAAATCTGAGACAAAGAATATCTCAACTAATAAGTTTCAAAACTAATTGAAATATCTGTAACAAAGAAGAGATATTTCAATTAGTTGAGCATTAGACATTTTTCCTTTGGTTTCTTCTTAAACTTATTATGTTGTATGCACTCACTGTCTGCTCCTCCAAGCTGATTTACTGCTTCTATGAACTGCTCATGGAGGTCTTTTGTCCATTTCAGTCTAGGCTTTGTATTGGTCGAAGGTACAAGTCCAGAATCTCCTGCACCATTCCCCCATTGCAGGAACAAATGCCTTTCTGGAGGAATGGACCCTCTTGAGGAGGGGTGGATGTTCTTTCCTTGATGATGGTGATGATGATACATCTGCCTTCAAAATGATGAATTTATGATTAGTTTCATGCAAAGAGCACAAACAGTTACTATGATCTTATTCAAAAACAATTGTGTTTTTATACTTTATGTCGGAGTTATACATGTCAAAGAACTATAAATGGAGTAATACCTTTCTGATAGCACAAGGGAAAATGAAAATACAGGCTGCTGTCTTTCTAATTCACTCAGATTGAGCAAGGCCTCCAATGAGACGTAAACTAGGTTTACTTATTTGTTTTATTATGGCACACAAAAAATGTCAGAATAGCCAATTTTCCTTCAACACTGGTACAAAACATGAAAGTATTCAAGCAAAAGCCAGTAGAGGACCAGGAAGATGGGCGGGCGACACAAAATCAATGCCCTTTATATCATATCTTAAAATTTTAATGGACCAGCTAAGAAGCAGTTTCAATGCCCTGATTTGTTTTCCAATGACTCCATATATACACCTAAATAATAATATTTCCATTATCTGCGCATATCATGCACTACTTTTCTACATTTTAACTTGCAGTAGAAGAGCAAAAAGGCTGGCATCTATGAGGACTTAATGCTTACATTTACTACAGTAGTGGGTTATTAGAGGAGATCCGCAGTTGTAACAAAAAGAATGTTTGCATCTGTGATCATCTACAAAAATAAAATATACATATATAAGTACGCAGATGATTGGGTGTAAAAAAGAGATAAAAAATTAAATGAATCGATATAATCAATTGGAAATGATTCGGATTGAGCTTCAATCTTCATCAACTGAAGAGACACGCTTGCTAAAAATGATCAATCAAACACTACAAATGATTTTTATGTTCTCAACTTGAAGACCAAGGTCATATGACATATGAAGTAGAAATGCAGAAAAAAAAAATGAAAGGAAGTTTGACAGAGTTGAGAACAACTACATCAAGAACAGTATTGTTTATACACCAAACTTCTACCATAAAACCGCAGCAACACAAAAACTATGATGCTTGGACCATGAAGCAAGCACAAATCCCCAATGCCTACAACCAACATCGCATTATAGTAAATTTTTTTTTTTAGAAAAAAAATTAAATCAAGGATTCTAGTTTTCTTCCTTCAAGACAAAAAGGAATAACATAGTCTAATTATCTATGTTGATTAGAAATACGTAAAATTATGTTCTACCAATATACAAACATAGATTGAAAAGCAAAAATATCAAAGTGAATGAGATTCTATTGAAAAGAGAGCAGAACAAAAATGGCAAGTGAAAAGATTAAAAAGAGTACAATTCGACTGAAGGAAGGCCAGATCGAAGAGCGAGGAATATAGTGAGTCCTGTGTATGAGACCAGATCTGATGGAGCGAGAGAGAGAGAGAGAAAGTGTGAGAGGACCAGACTTAAGGGATAGTAGCGACGGGAGGACCATACCTGAGAAGGAGCTTTAACAGGCTCGAAACCCTAGATAAAATCCCTTCACTAATGTAGCAACTCGATTACCAGAAACCCAATATTTACTCAATCTGATTACCAGAAACACAGTATTCACTCAATCGGCTAGTTTCCTCAGTCCCGATTCGATTGGTCTCAGTCCCGATCCCAATCCCGATGATCTTGATCCTTCTTCACTCATCGATCTCGTAACCTTGCCGATTTGTGCAACTCAACCGGTCCATCTTCCTCTGCAAAATCATCAGAATCTGAATCAAGAAAAACAAAAAACCGTCAAGAAATTTTAACCAAATTGATTCAAGAATCGATGGATTTAGAATTAGATCTGAACAAGTAATCGGAATCAACCCTGGTGAATCTCTCAAGGAGCATGAGGAGACAGAGGAAACCCTAGATCTGGGACGGAGAGAGAAAAGAGAGAAATGGATATAGAAAACAGAATGACGGAAAAAGAAATGGGTACAGAGGGAGACGGAGCACCGTTTAAAAGTCGAACGCGTGTTTATAAAAGGAAAATGCGTGCCTTTTAATTTCACTTTACCTCTTCCACAACGTTTTTCAAAAAACGTTGTGTAAAAAACGTGGTTATAGGTAACTTTTGTTGTAGTGCATGAACACATTTTAAAATTTATTAAGCTTTCAAACGAAGCTTAAGTAACTTACTACTAGATTATATGCACTATAAAAAACCAAACTACTCAAACTCGACTCTATTAAAGCTCATTTTTCAATCTTCAACAATGTGGTGATTGACTTGTTTACAGTGATAGGGACATAGGGCTACATGTACCCGGATACTAATTGGGGAAAATCCTAGAATACCCTCATTACAAAATAAAGAAAGAAAGACTATAAGTATACATCAATCAAACACTAATCTTACTTGCACTGCTATGCCATTGAACTTGAGAACCCAAATTAACAATTGCTTAAACCTGCCTCATGTTTGAATATTTAAATACTCGTTTGAGATTAACACCTTGTGATCAGCACAATTAAAAGCTTGAACACATTTTCAAACTCGTTAAATTTTCAAATCAAGCTTAAATAATCTACTACTTTACTCGGTTCAACTTGTTTACAGTCCAAAAAGCAGGGGACCACATGTACCCGGAAACTCATTAAGGCAAATCCTCAGATACCCTCACTACAGATGGACACAAATAAAAATAAAAATAAAAACTTGAGAACAAAAATTGACAAGTACTTGCCACTACTTGGCCAGCTCTAGCGCACCACCCATTAGGCAACTCATAGGACCTGAAAGTAGCCCACTCAGTCACGCTCGCCTTCCCCAATACGATCGCACCCGCTTTCCTCAGCTTCGCCACCACCCCTATGTCCCGAGCCACCACCGAACTCAGCAGCTCATAAGATCTAGCTGTGGTGTTAAGCTTGTCTTTGGTTGCAATGTTATCCTTCAACAGAATGGGAATACCGTGCAATAGAATGGTGGCATGCCAAATCAACAAGGTGAATAGTTGGCTAAGTGCTGAGTTAGCAGCACACAACCCTTGGCCAATGTATGGGCAGCAGTTGCACAGATGCAAGGCATTAACATGACCCGAATGTGGGCAGCAGCATACTTAGGGGTTCAAAGCAATCAGTAGGCAAAACTTGTTCTGGGGGGCAAGACAACGAAATTCGTGGCTGACTTGATGAGGAAAACAACAAAGCAGTTATGCTTGTCTGTTGGTAGCAGTTATCCATGTTGGGCAAAAGCTAGGCAAGGCTGGACTTCAGGAAGCAAGGCTGAAAGATAGCAGCAGTTAACAACAGTTATGTCCCAGAAATGTTCCTAAGTCCCTAGGCAGTTGGGGGTGTCAACTGCCATGCCACTTGGCATGCTTTCCTTGTAATGCTGGTTGTAAGATTGTAATTGATTATAAGCCTATTTTAGGTATAGCCATGGAACTCGAAAATTAACTAAGTGTTTTGTAAGAGTTCCATAGGCATCCTTTGTATTGTTTGTGCAATTAATAAAGGTTGGGAAATTTCCTGTAATCTCTTGTTGCCTATTCTCTTATTCGTTATAACACTTTGTGTGTGTGTATTCATAATTGGCTGAGACTAAGTGTCCAACTTAGTGCCATAACAGGCTGGAAATTTGAAACAAAAATTGACCCTATTGTAGACACCCCATTTTTGACCGACCTTAAGACTCAGACGTCACCAATTGAGCGCTTGGTGATGTTGCATAATGTGCTCGTTCAGAAGTCTCAGAGTCTCGGATGTGAACCCTGCCTCCGGACTTCCGAACCCTCTTCTGTGCCTTGCCTCGGTTTGTGAACCAGGCTCGATTTTCTCTGTTTCTTTTCCTGAGAGGAGGGAGAGGTCCCGTAGACCATCTCTCAGTGGCAGTAGGCTACATTTGGTGGCCGTAGGCCATTTTGCCCATTTCGGAGTCCGGTTCCCGGTTTTCGGAGCCGTCAGGCCGTGTGCCTCGGTTCGGAACCGCCTAACCATCTCAATTTGCTTTGATTTTTGGCATACATCTTATTTTCTCCCTTTTGAGGGACACTGGGGTCTGAGAAACCCACTTCGTGGCCGAACGCCACTTTCGGTGCTTAGCAGCCCATTTTCGGGACCCCGAACTGCGTGTTTTGGCCCCCGAGCATTCGTTTTGCATCGATTTTCGTTCATTTTTGGCAGGTACCTCTGTTTTATCATCAGGAAGGTCACTGGAGGGTGGGAGGCCAGCAATTATCTTGGCAACCAGTTATATTCTATTTTCGCCCTCCGGCACCCGTTTTTCTCACTCCCGAGCCAATGTTGAACACCTTGGGGCCACTTTCTTCAACCCCAAACCACATATTTGTGTTGTACACACATGGGAGGATCCTAATATCATATGGCCGGCCAGAAACTCCAATTGAACCTTTTGAACCCCTCCTAAAAATGGCTTGTTCTCTCTCCTGTTTCAGAGTTGCCAATTTTGAACCACATCTAGGTGATATTTTTAGAAAGACATGATCACTCACCTCAAATGACAAAGGTCTCCTCCTACGGTCGACATAACTCTTTTGGCGACTCTGGGCCGTAACCAACCTAATGAATTCAAGCACACAACAATAAATTTTTGTAGAAGTACCTTTGATAATTACTTATGTTCTGACACAAAGCCAAACTACAAATGCACATAGTTAAACCACATATGCTAATGTATCATTGCTTCACACATTAGTTCAATATGACAAAACAAAGCAACAAGGAAACAACATACCAGAACGATTGGTGAGACGATCCTAGATTAATATAAGCGAAGGAAACAGAAAATTAGTCAGAAGAAGAAGGAAAACCAGAGCCCAAACTCATAAAAGTGAACCTATCGAAAAAAAATCAAACAAACCTCAAAAGACCAAAGGCATCCCAATTTCTCATGACAGGAAACTGCTCTGAGACATGAACCAATTGCCATTGAGCCCTAGTTGAAATATAGCTATAAAAGTATTGCATTAGAATATAGGCTATAAATAGTTATACATTCAGTAAATCACATTCGAAAGATGAATAGTCATTGTCAATAATCACATTTGGGGCAAAAAAGTATCATTTTATGACGGTGAATTTAACTATACAAAAATAAAAGTTGAGTCATCGCGATTTTTTCACCCATGATTATAAAAAACAAAAAAATAAAAAATAAAATTATAAAGGGCTGTAGTTGTAGATGAAGGGAAAAGGCTTATCTCACGGGTCATTAAGTCTAAACAACCACAATTTGAAACAATTTACAGAAACATTTTGACCCTTAATATATGCCCTTGGATCTAACATGGCAACACGAATTACTGCTTGCAAGTCAAAATAACATCGAAGGACACATCTTCCATTAATCCATGATCCAGTGCACTGTCTTATAATACACCTCCTTCCCTTTTGCCATCGTCAGATTCCCTGCAACAAACAGAAGCTTGTAAAGCCTAAAATTCCAACAAAATAAGTTCTCTCATCTGAGGAAAAATAGCTTAAGTGGCAATGATTCTCATCAGAAAAGTTCTATATAATATCATCAACAAAAGGAAAATACGAATAAACTATTCCGTTAAGGAAGGCATTAACTATTGTTTACATTATTTATGTAATTGATGGCGTACAATTGTGGTTGTAAATGCGTTTAAGTAATGCCATTTTTCTCATGGAAGTATGTTGCATAACTATGAGATAGCAAAATGCATATGAACCAAACAAATTCCCGAAATTGTAGCACAATAATGAGAACAGAAATGCTCCTCCAAGAGAGAGGCAACTATTTGTCATCAAACAAAATCAGCAATATTCATCTGCAAGCTTTCAGCATTACCTGTTGGCGAGAAAAAGTGGGACTATCGAACCCTCTTGGATCCATTCACCGTAAATCGCCTATAAAGGAAAATGTTCCCTTCCACACCCTTCGTTCCTTCCTCTTCCCCCCCTTCACACCGCAGCAGATCACCTAGAGACCTATAATTGGCAAATAAAATTACAGAAAATTTTAGTTTCGTTCAGTCCATTTCAATCCTTAAAAAAAAAGGACAATTCAAACAAAAAGTTAAAAATGATTTAGTATGGAACGACAATTCCTGACATCTAATGTAAAAGCATCCCCAATTAGAGAAGGAAGAAATTGGCAACAAGGCACAATATCAATGCTGCAAATATGATGGGTTGGTTGCTGAGCTATCTTGAACCAGCTCTAGTCTAGTTAGTCTTCTCATATGCCCAATAGCCTAAATGTTAATCAGCCTTCTGATTTGCACAGGGCAAATAAATTATAAAAACTATAGATTATTCACCTGGTTTGAAATGGTTTCAACCACAATCTTGGCAACCAAAATGCATGCACCTTTCCAAATTTGGGCACTGAAGGGAAGCATCTCTCTGGAAGATTAAAATAAAAACATAGAAAATCAGTTTAACCAAAAACTGACAACTCTCTAAAATACTTTGCCGTGTATGTCACCAAGCTTGAAAAAGAAAGAACTCAGAAGAACATTACCCCCAGGATGCAAGTTTCGACCAAGAATTTAGATTCAGAATCCATTGAGCTCTGGGCAGTTCAAATATAAAGCCTGCACACAAATCACAAATTCAGGTCCGAGTGAAGAAATAAGCGAGGCAAGATGTATACAAAATTACTTAGACTAGTGAATCTCACACTAAAGCCAGAACAACCCACAAGCTAAGTTTTTTCAGCTTGCCATGTTTGATAATAACTTCTGGTAAATAAGGGTGGTAGTTTTGGCTGTTGGGAGTTCTGCACTCATGGTCACGCTTTCTTCGAAAGTTGGAATCTGGAAATTGGGGTCACATATTGGTCATTCCACAGTCCATTTGATTTTC